TTTTTTTTTTTTTTTTTTAAACTTTTACATTTTGAGACAGAATCTTGCTAAGTTGTTTAGGGCCTTGCTAAATTGTTGAGGCTAGCCTCAAACTTGGAATCCTCCTGAGTCATTGGGATTACAGGTGTTTGTCACCACACCCAGCTACCCATTATTTCTTCAAATCATTTTTCAGCACTAAGTTTTTTCTCCTTTCCATCTAGGTCTCCAACAAAATGGATGTTAGTCCATTTGATATTGTTCCACAGTTCACTGAAGCTGTTTATTTTATTTTTTCTAACATTTTATTTCTGTTTTTTAGATTAGCTAATTTCTATTATTCTGTATTGAAGTTTACTCACTAATTTATCTATCATGTCTGTTCTCCTAAGGAGCCTGTCAGTAAATTCTAAATTTCATATATTGTATTTTCACTATTAAAATTTCTATTCATTCTTTTAAAATTTAGTTTTTATTTCTCTGCTGAGAATGTGTATCTTTCATTAATTTAAAAAGAATTCGCCTTTACCTCATGGATGATGGTTATAATAACCATTGAAATCTTTGCTATTTCTAATATCAAGATTTTTTTTAAAAAAGAGAGGGGGGAATTTTATTATTTATTTTTTAGTTTTCGGCGGACACAACATCTTTGTTTGTATGTGGTGCTGAGGATTGAACCCGGGCCGCACGCATGCCAGGCGAGCGCACTACCACTTGAGCCACATCCCCAGCCCTAATATCAAGATTTCTTGGAGAGCCGAGTTAGGTGGCACATGCTTATAATCCCAGAAACTCAGGAGGCTGAGGCAGGAGGATTGCACAGTCAAGGTCAGCCTCAGCAATTTAGCAAGGCCCTAAGCAACTTAGGGAGACCCTGTCTCAAAAAAAAAATTTATCCATGTCACTTATCATTACTTCTTTTTTCATTGCTCAGTAGTATTTCATTTTATGAATATACCACAATTTGTCCATTCTTCTGTTTATAGATATTTGACTTATTTCCAGTTTTTGGCTATTATGAATACAATGCTAAGAGCGTTCCTATACAAACCTTTTTGCAAATCTTTGGTTTCATTTCCCTCTTTCTTTCTTTTCTGTTCTTTTGTTTGTTTGTTTGTTTGTTTACCACTGAGCTACCCCTAGTCCCTTTTTATTTTTTATTTTGAGACAGGGTCTTGCTAAATTATTGAAGCTGACTTTGAACTTGTTATTCTCCTGCCTTAGCCCATAGAATTGTTGGCCATTACCCACAGAGGTTTTTGTTTCTCTTGAATAAATATCTAGGAGTTGAATTGCTGATGTAGGTGTAGGTTTGTGTTTAATCTTCAAAGAAATAGCCAAATCAATTTCCATATTGGAAGTACCATAAAAATTACCTGAGAATTTTATTTGCACTACATTTTTGCCAATATTTGCTATTTTTTCCCTGTCATTTTAGCCATCATAATGGATGTGGAATGGTTTAAATCTTATCTTTCCCTAATGACTAATGATGTTGAGCAACTTTTCATTTGTATAATGACCATTTGGATATTTTCATTTATGAAGTATTGGTTTAAGTCTTTTGTCCACTTTTATTGGTTGCTTATCTTTTTCTTTTTGAGTTTAGAAGTTCTTATATTCTGAATATAAGTCCTTTGCTGCCGCAGTCTGGCTGGGCACAAAATCACGAGCCACTCAAGCAGGAACAAACTTTATTTTTGAAACTGCTGCCAATGCCCCTTACGCTCCCCGAAAGATTGCCGACTGACCCACGCGGACCCCAACAGGAAGTCCCTCCTTCAGAATTCCCTCCTACCGCACTTCCCCAACCAATGGGAACTCTCCAGGAGTCCCATAGCAGGCTGAGGTGGACAGCAGGAGTCCAATATCCATATGAATGCAGATCTTAACATAATCATATCATCTCAATGGCTTGCTGGTGTCACCTTTCAACCAAAAATGCCATGCATCATATTACTTGGCTGTGGCTCTTAGCACTTTGCCATTATAAGGTCTTGCTTAGCATCTGAACGGTCATCTTAAGTGACAGCTGCCATTTTAAGGAAAAAGTTTTGCTTTCTCAGCATTTCTGAGAAAGACTCACCAATCCTTCATACCAACCCAGCTCTGATTCCTGAGTCTGCCCTATAAAAGCCTGGGAACTCAAGCCTGTTTTGCCTCTCTCCACTATAGAGAGATGGCCTTTATTTGTCCTTTCTGGCTTACCTGTCTCTTGTTCCTCGCTTTCCCTTCAGCCAGACATATGGATTGTAAATATTTTTTCCCCAACCTGTAGTTTAAGTGATTTTTTTGATGAACAAAAGGTTTTAATTTGGACAATGTCCAATTGATCAATATTTTATAATTAGTTTTTTTTTAAATAATTAGCATTCTGTGTCTTTTTTTTTTTTTTTTAAAGAGAGAGTGAGAGAGAGACAGGGAGAGCGAGAGAGAGAATTTTAATATTTATTTATTTTTTTAGTTCTCGGCGGACACAACATCTTTGTTTATATGTGGTGCTGAGGATCGAACCTGGGCCGCTCGAACGCCAGGCGAGCGCGCTGCCGCTTGAGCCACGTCCCCAGCCCCGCATTCTGTGTCTTGATTAAGGAATTTTCATCAACTTCAGGGACACAGAATAATTCTCATAGAATTTCTTCTAGAAGTTTTATAGTTTTATTTTTTGTTTAGGTCCATGATCCATCTTGAATTAATTTTTTTTTGGTCTATGGTGTTCAATAAGGGTCAAAATTTTTTTAAGATCAAAAACTGCATTTTCTTTCTACATTGAATTATCCTGGTACGCTTTAAAAAAAATCAATAGACCATATAAATGTGAGTGTATTTCTGCTTCTCTATTCTGTTTCATTGATCTGTTTATTTATTCTTACAGCACATTGTTTTGGTTACTGTCACTTTATTTATTTATTTATTTTTTAGTTTTAGATGGACACAATATCTTTATTTTTATGTGGGGCTGAGAATCGAACCCAGTGCCTCATGCATGTTAGGCGATCGCGCTACCACTTGAGCCACATTCCCAGCCCGTACTGTCACTTTATAATGAGTCTTAAAATGAGATAATGTAACTCCCTCACCTTTTTACTACTATATCAAGAATTTCCCAACAGTTCATTGATGTATAGAAATACAGTTGAATTTTGTATATTTCCTTTGTATCTTAAAAAAAAAAAATGATGCCTTTTATTCTTTTTCTTTTTTGATACTGGGTATTGACCTAGGGGGATTTAACCACTGAGCCACATCCCTAGCCCTTTTTATTTTTTTATTTTGAAACAAGGTCTTGCTAAGTTGCTTAGGGTCTTGCTAAGTTGCTGAGGCTGGCTTTGAACTTGTGATTCTCCTGCCTCAGGCTCCCAAGCAGCTGGGATTGCAGGTGTGTGCCACCAGTCTGGGCCTTTTTTATTCTTAATTAATTTTATTATGATATAATTCACATGATACAATTCACCCATTTAATATGTACCTTTTGATGGTTTTTACAATATCTACAGATACATGTAACCATCACATTGGACATCTTGCAAATTTGCCAAATTTTCTTTTTAGTTCTAGTAGCTTTTTTATTTTTAGATTTATTAGGATGTTTTGGTAGTGTGCAAAACTTGCACCTGCTAGGCAAGTGCTCTACACTGCACTATGTCCTCAGCTCCTTCTTTGAAAATTTTTATGCACATAACCATGATATATATGAATAGCATAATTTTTCTTCTTTCTTTTTGGCATTGGGAATTGAACCAGGGGTAATCTACCACTGAGCTACTTCCACCCCTTTTTATTTTTTATTTTGAGACAGGGTCTCACTAAGTTTTTTAGGGCCTTCCTAAGTTGCTGAGGCTGGCCTTGGATTTGCAGTGCTCCTGTCTCAGCCTCTTGAGTTGCTGGTGTGTGCCCCGGGGCTCAGCACAATTTTATTTCTTTAAGACATTACATTTCATTCTCTTGCTTGATTATACTGGTCAGTACTTTTAGTATATTGTTAAAGAGAAGTGATAAGAACAGATCTTCTTATATTTTATTTTCCCATCTTTATTTTTGAAGGATGTTTACTCTGGGTATCAAATTTTAGATTGGCTTTTATTTTCTTTCTTCTTCTTTAGCACTTTACAATATCATTCCATTTTCTTTTGCTTCCATTTGTTTCTGATGACAAGTCATCTATCATTTTTATTATTATTCCTTAAATGTAATGTGGCCTTTTTCTCTGCTTTTGAGTTTACAATTTTCTTTTAATCCTTGGTTTTCATCAACTTGACTATTTGTGCCTATATGTGATTATTACATTCATGGGTTTAGAGCTTGGATTCCAATGCAGAGTTAAGGTCTTTAGGAGGTGTTTGAATCATGAGGTCAAATCAAATCTGACCTTGTGAATGCTTGAACTGAGCTATATCCCCAGCCCTTTTCTCACTTTATTTTTGCTTCCTGACTACCACAAGGTAATCTGCTTTGCTCCACCACATGCTCCCAGCCATGATGTTCTGCTCTTCACACTCAGAAGCAATACAGCCATTTGATCATGGACTAAAACCTCTGCCACTATGAGCCATAATAAATCTTTTCATCTATTTATTTATCTATTAGTTTATTTTAGATTATAAAAACTTCCACTTTAATCAAGGCTTTTAATGTGGAACAGATTTATCAATTAAAATGGAAAGTTTCCAATACAATGAAACAAAAGTCCATAAGTCACCATACATACAACACCCAGCAGGAAAAAACAAAACAGCAAGTTTACACAATCCCTATAACGGTCTGATTCTCAGATGTTCCATCCATCTGCCAAGTGTGTTCTGCTGGATACAAAGCACACGGTGGCTAAGGCTGTGGGCCACAAAGCACTCCTCTGGTCCGGCAGTGGTGGCTCTATTCCACAAACAAAGCCATTATCAGCACATTCAAACAGTGTATTGAGCATCTTTTAAATATAAAAGTAGAAAACAAGAAGGCAACATGATCATGTTATCAGAAAGATATCAGAAAGTTAGGGCAGCTATGTAAAGCTGGAGGCTTCATTTCTTTGGCTTCTTGGGTAGTGGCTGCCAAAATAGCAAGATATGAAGTTCTGGTTCATGGATCATATAATGAACCCATCCCTGACACCAAGATTCTTCCATTCAGATTCAGTGGGTTTTAGGGACCAGTTTGGCTCTGTCCTTGGGCAACATGACATGCCAGTACTTGAACTCCTTGTTGTCATATTTGTCTGAATAGTAAATTTGTTTGTGTGACATAATTGCTCTGCCTGCAGGCCTCCAGCACCATGCTGCCAACCTCTCCAGAAGCATGCCAGATCTTTCCTTTTAGGTTGATTTTCTCAGGTATTTTGTCTTGGGAGTGGAAAGCTGACTAGCACAAGATTGCATAATTTTTTGATTTGCCTTGAGGTTTTATAATCCAGTATTTTGTACATTATATTTTTCAATGTTAGAATTTCCATGTAGTTCTTTTGTTCCATTTTCTGGAGCTTCCATTTGTTTGCCCATATCCTTCATCTTTTTAGTTATATTGTCCACTTTTCTCTTTAAATTCTTTATTTTTAAGTTTTAGGGTTTTTACTTAGTTCTTTTGTTATTTTAAAAAAGAGTTTCCATTTGTTTGCCTGTAATAGCTTGTTACTATAATGAATTAGCTGATGCAGAATAACTTTTTAAAGAAAAGAGATTTATTTAGCTCAGTCTGGAGGCTCAGAGGCACGGTGCTGATATCAGCTTACTTCTGGTGAGCATTTCATGGAGGATGGCAGGAACATGTATGAAAGGGGGAGATCATATCACTGAACAGGAAGTTAAAGAGCAAGTCAGGGGTCAGCCTCACTCTTATAACAACTTCCTCTTGAGAGAATTTCAGTCCAGGAAACAACATTCCCTTCCAAGGGCAGTGACCCCAAGGACCTGAGGAGCTCCCTGTAGTCCTCACCTCTTAAAGATCTCCCATTGCCTCTGTAGGGGCCAACTTCTAATGCACAAGTATTAAGGGACAAACCATATCCAAACCACAGCATCATCAGAATCTTACATCTTTCATTTTTTCCACCTTTTCCTCTAAAATATTTATCCATTTCATCCATATTTATATCATATTAGATATTTTAAAGTCCTTGTCTGCTAATTTGAACATATGAGTCATCTGTAAGTCTGCTTCTATTAATTTTTTTCCCTTTTGGTTACAAGTCACAGTCTTTTCCCAGCTTCTTCATGTGTCTCATTTTTTAAAAATATATGCCAAACACTGGATAAATGTATTAGAGACTGAGCTAGGCCATTTTTCCCATTAAACAGGAGTTCAGTTAGATTGGGACTGAGTTGTCACTACCTAGTTTTCATTCATCTCGGTTTCAGGTGTTTTGAGGGTGGGATTAGACCCTTTGGTTCCAGCATAAGTATGGAATCACTGCACTGTTAGACTGGAGATCTTGCTTTGCCTGCCAGACCAGTCTCCAGTTCCCTGTACTATTGCTGATGGAGTACAAGTCCCAAGGAGAAAATGATGGTTGCAGATTCTGGTTAGTATAGCAGCTCATGTGCAGTCATTGATTATTCAACTGATTTCTTCTAAACCCCACAACATTACTCTGCATTTGGAAGGCTCACAGCTCTCTGTCCCTGTGTCCAGAGTTTCGGTAAATAACCACAATCATGAACTAGAAAAGGATTGAAATTGAATTTATGTAGACTATTTGTATCTATTTTTCTTTGACAACTTAAAGAAAATTGCTATTTTTCTTTTTTAGTTCATCCAGTGTTTTCATGTTGTTATAGTTACTGACCAAGTTATAGTCTCTGTGGCCCTCTACTTCCTAACTGGTGGTAAAATTCTTGATATTCTCATGAAGTAGCATTTCTTCCTCCTTTCTGTGGGAAGAAACTATAGGAAGTGGGACCTAGCTAAAGGGAATGGGTTCCTGGGACATGTTCTTGGGGTCTATATACTGTCCCTGGCCCCTTTCTATTTCCTAGCTGCCATAAGTTAATTGGTTTTTATTTGCCATGCTCTTCTGCCATGTTGTACTGCTTCACCACTGGCCCAGAAACAATGGAACCAGCCAGCCATGAACTGAAATGTCTGAAACTGTGAGTCAAAATAAATCTTTCCTCCTCTAGGTTAATTTTTCCAGGTACTTTGTCATAGTAATGAAAAACTAACACAGTAATCATTGGTAACACTCTTGTGTATTTACCTTTCTCCTTTATATTCATTTTCAAATCATGTAAATGGGATCATAGTGATCTTTAATTTTTCACTTATATATACATCTTGGATATAATTCCTCATCAGTAATAATAGATCAACTCATTATTTTTAATATACAGTATTCTAAGATATAAACAGATTATAAATCACCAAAGTAACCCCCGATTGGTGGATATTTAAGTTGTTCAATTAAATGTTATTACCAATAACTGACTATCTTTATATGCTTGTATATCAATGGGCTAATATTTGTGCTGCCTTGGCTTTAAAGCCAGGCTTTGGCCATTTATGGTTTAAAAAAAAAAAAAAAAAGGCAGCACTTTTGTCTTTTCCTTGGCGAGGGCTCAACTGTTGGATTCATCTGGTGTAGAGTCATAGCAGCCCTTATGACATCATAGATCTCCCTCCTCAACTCTCTCTGCTTATGCCATGGCTAGAGGAATTCAGACCTGAGGGGGATTTGAACCATCTACACCCAATCCCTGTGTGATCAATGGTGAATACAAGAAAGCCAGATACACTAGGCTTTTTAAGGATGCCCCCATAGATATTTCAGGATGCAGGGACCCTCTGACATCTGAAGACTCTGGGAAACTCTGGGGATGTGTGGGCTATTGAATGGAGAGAGAGGGATGACAGCCTTACTCTTACTTTTCTCCTAACTGCTGATTGCAGGAGGAGGAGGAGCAGCCTGAAGATAAAGATGAAAATCCCTTATTATCAGAGAACCCATCAGAGGTAGAGGTAGGAGGAGCCCTGCCTTAAGTGTCACTGATCCTTGGGTCCTAATGCTTGTGCCTAATGTCTTTTGCATGGTCCTAAGCCAAGAGGAATAAACTCATTCTTGTTTATCCTTTTCCCCTGTTTCCTTTTCAGACTGACATTTTGGCTGAGACACAGAAAACGGACGATACTGAAGTAAGTCATACTTAATATTAAGTATGACTTCTCAGACCATAGTGGGCTGGGGCTGGGGCTGGGGCTGTTGTGTTTATGAAATGGAATGATCAAGATGTGAGAAGCTTGGCTTTGTTAGAATTGTGTGTGTGTGTGTGTGTGTGTGTGTGTGTTGAACTAATTCAAACTATGAAAGTCAAGAGAAGTGAAGATGGGGGAAGAGATGAGAGGTTGATATTTCTGGGTTGGATAAAACTTTTTTTTTTTTTTGGTACCAGGGATAGAACTCATTTTATATTTTAGCCCATTTTATATTTTATTTAGAGACAGGGTCTTGCTGAATTGCTTAGGGACTTGCTAAGTTTCGGAGGCTGGCTTTGAACTCGTGATCCTCCTGCCTCAACCTACTGAGCAGCTGGGATTACAGGTGTGCACCACCACACGTGGCTGGGTAAAACTTTTAATACCTGGACTTGACAGGGAGGGAGTAGTTTGTAAAATGAGGTAGAGTCAAGAATGAGGGCAGGATGACTTAAGGATGCCACTCCCCCCAGCAGTTGGTGGGAGGGTCTAAAGGGATATGGGTCTTGGTTAGGTAGTGGGTAGGCTCCGGCAGATCATGATAGTCTTTTGACTCATATCATAGAGTTTTCCTGTAGCCTGGCTAACCTGATCTATGGGAAAACTGATTGGCAGGGAAGATGTATTCCCATTTTACAGACTGAGACTAGGACTCAAAGGGCAAGGTGATATGATTGTAACCATTAAGCAGAAGGTGACAGAGGCAGGTCACTGACCTGCTCTTCTTGTTCCAGCCAATTTTAGAAGGGTTTCTAGGGACTCAGAATCTTTCCTGGAACACCTTAGACTGAAATGGGTGGGGAACATTCTCTGAATGTCTCCTCTTTTTTTCTTGAAAGGCTCCAGTGATCCAGGATGAGATCTCCGAAGAAGATAAGGCAGTTATAAAGATCCAGTCTTGGTGGCGGGGCACACTGGTGCGTAGGACACTGCTACACGCTGCCCTCAGGGCCTGGGTCATTCAGTGCTGGTGGAGGCTGATGCAAGCAAAATTTGCAGAGAAGAGGCTCCGGGTGACACTTGATAGATTTTCACGGGAGGAGTGGGCAGCAGTCAGACTGCAGTCCTGGGCCCGCATGTGGCGCATCCGTCAGTGCTACTGCCAGGTGCTCAATGCTGTTCGTATCATCCAGGCCTACTGGAGGTGCCACACCTGTGCTTCCCGGGGTCTCATCAAAGGCCAATACCGAGTCACAGCCAGCCAGCTGCATCTCGAGTTGGAGATCCTGCTGGGCTCAGGGCCCTGTGTTGTGACAGAGTGTATTCCCCTCCCAATAAAGCAGTGAAGTGATCTTCCAAATACTTCCTTTGTTTGACAAACTGCGGAAGGACATGGTAGATGATGAGAGATACTTGACATCAAATATGTTAGTGCTAAAGAATTGAGGGGTTATCTGAAGCTCTGTGTAGAGAAGGGTCTGAGCTCCTTGTCTAGACTGAGCAGACTATAATTGATTAGCAATGGCGCCAAAGGTAGGAAAGTAGGGGTTACAGATTGATAAGGCTGACAAACCCCAGGGGGGCATCACTCATGCTTGGTCTAGGGAATGGCACACTCTCTTCAAAACTGTGTAAAGTAGAAATTCAGGGTGGGGGTCATGGCAATGGCAGTACATTTGCCAGGAATTTCACCCAGCTGGGCCTAGTTGCTCAGGGCTTGTTCCTTATCACCATGATTAAGAAGAGCCCACCCACCACAAGCCCATAATCTTGTCTCCCTGCACAACTGGGGTTGTTTCCCTGAGGACAGCTTGTAAGAATCTGAGACCCAAACAGGAAGCTGTTAGAGAGCCCAATCAAATTCTCATATTCTCTCTCTCTCTCTCTCTCTCTCTCTCTCTCTCATTTTTTGGTGGTGCTGGGGATTGAACCTAGAGCCTTGTGCGTATAAGATAAGCACTTCAACAACTGAGCTATACCCCCAGCCCCTCAAATTCTCATTCCCACCTTAAACATCATGTGTCCCTTACCCTTCAGCCCAGATGGAGGCTAGGATTCATTTTCCTCCACCCCTGGCCAGTGTGAGAGGTCTCACAGCATGGGGATGGGGGAGATGGCATTCTACTGCCAGCCCTACCCTCAGGTGAGTGTCACATCCCAAGCTATCACAGACCCTGGAGCTGAGGAAGCCTTAGCTTTGTCTTGTCTCTGTACAGGATGATCCAGGTAGAACTGAAAGTCCCTTCCTGTGACATGCTGCTACTTGGGAGTGGAAATGGGGCTAGTTGGTAATAAAAGGCCAATTACGAGGTTAAAGCCAGTCTGCCCCTCTTCTTGCCTGGATACTGCTATCTCACAGGTCCCTGCAGAGAGGGAGGAGTCTGAGGTCTGAGTTGTTTGCTTCAAAGAAGAGTCCTTTCCTTCAGAGCTCTATATCCAGCCCTGCTCTATTGACTCTTCCCTGGTGACCTGATCTTGTAGCTCACAGAGGTTCTGAGACAATGCCCAGGGCTCTCAGGCTCCAACTCTCTGTCTTGTACTTAGGTATTAACTCTTTGTTTTTTGTTCTTTTGCCTCAGTGCCTGGGTCTCTCACTCTCTCTCTCTGAAGGATTTCTGTCACTCTCTGATCTAGGTCAGGTCCCTAGCTCTGTCTGTCACTGCCATGTGGCTATGGACAAATTGATTCCTTTCTCTAAGTCTCAGTTTCATGAGTTGTGAAGCAGAGCTAATGACCCCCACCTTTTAGGATAAATGTCAAATACTGTGATACCCCATTGTTCTGCTGTTCTTTAAAACATGAAGTTGTACACCTTAAATATGATTGTGTGTATATAAATATATTTTTTTAAATTTATTTTTTAGTTGTAGTTGGACACAATATCTTTATTTTTATTTATTTTTATGTGGTGCTGAGGATCGAACCCAGGGCTCTGCACATGCTAGGCGAGCACTCTACCACTGAGCCACAACCCAGCCCCAAGTCACAACCCAGCCCCTGTATTTATATATTTTTAACATGTCAATTAAAACTCAATAAAGCTAAAAAAAAAATCAGCATCATCCACAAAACAGACATAGACTTTAAATGCTGGTGGACATGGAAAAAGCAAATTCTGGGGTTGGCTGGAATGATCCACAAAACTCTTACAGGTGATCTACTCCTGCTCCCAGACCCTCTCAGTGGGCAGGGCTGGGGAGTATATGTTTGCATATACGCACAAACAATACTCACATCACTGTTTATTTCTATATCTATGTTGGAATCTGTGAGTTCACTTTGAGACCTTCAATCCCAATCTAAACTCACTGAGTTCATTCTAGTTTTCTCCTTTCCATATTCTCCCCTCCTTGCTTTTTTTTTTTTTTTTTTGATACTGGGAATTGAACTCTCAGGGGTGCTTTACCACAGAGTTACATCCATCCTCAGCCCTTTCTATTTTTTTATTTTGAGATAGGGTCTTGCTGAGTTGCCCAGGCTGGCCTCATACTTGCAATCCTCCTACCTCGACCTCCCAAATTGCTGGGATTACAGGCATGTGCCACTGAACCTCTCTTAATTTTCTTATTTGATCTTCCTTACAGTTAGCTAATTTTCCATGGTTTCTGCTGATCTCTTTTCTGTACAAACACTTTCTCTACCTTGCTTGGGTTCTGATACCTCAGTGGATGATTGTTCTCTTCATGCGGTTCTGTCCCCTCATTGTTCTGCTACTCTGTGGAAATGCCCCTCTCGCCCAACTAAAGCTGACAGGAAATGTCAGGACACCCTCTATGTATCAATTCTCTGTATAGTGCTCAAGTTCTGACTTAACTATGAGACAAGGCTGCCTTCCTCATCCTGTGGGATATGATACACATTATTGATATGACCTCGGACCCCTGTGTGGACTCCTCTTTCTGCCTGGTTCTCTCCCTCTCACACCAATGCCTTGGGCACCTTTCTTGGCATCCTCACTGGCTCTGTGCCATGGCTGTTCTCTCCTCTCCAGGTACATTTACATTGCACTCTGCAACCTTAAGACTTTTAGACTGAATTGTTCAGGAAGGCAAAGGAAAAAAGAAAGAAAGAAAGAGAGAGAGAGAGAGAGAGAGAGAGAGAGAGAGAGAAGAGAAGAGAAGAGAAGAGAGGACAAGAGAAAACAAAAATTCTAATTAAAAAGCAGACAGGGCTGGGGCTGTGGCTCAGTGGTATAGTGCTTGCCTAGCATGTGTGAGGCACTGGGTTCGATTCTCAGCTCCACATATAACTAAATGAAATAAAGGTCCATTAACAACTGAAAAAACAAATCAGAGACAAAACATCTGCAGAAGAAAATGCTCAGTCACTGGCTAAAATTTGTTTAGGTTTTTCATCCCAAACCTGAAGGAAACATAACCACACAGAAAACTCAAAAAACATCCAAGAGAAAATGGATCCAAATGTTTAAGCACAGGTTCAGGACTTCCTTTCCTTCTATGAATTCATAGGAACAACAGAAAAATAATATATTAATTCCAAAATCTCTAATTGTACCTAAATAGGAAGGGGATAATCAGTAGATAGAAATTATGTGAAATCTCTAAAAGAAGACATATGTGAAAAGACTGGAAGAAAGTAAGTTCTAAAAAAGGTCTTGGGCAAAAAGGAAAGAGTGGGCTACATAGGCTGTCCAAGCAGCTGGCTTTGGTTGCTGCAGGGGCTGGTTGCAATGTACTAACCAACTCTCCAGGACACCAGGCAGCTGGCAAGAGAGGGCTTGTGTCCAGGTGGCCCTCTCTTGCGAGTGTGCTGAGGAGGAGTGGCAGGGCCTTGTGTCATGTGGTAACCTTACCCAGGAGACTGATATATCACCATGAGCCTGCCCCAAACCTCCCTTGTAATCCTCAGAGTCAGGGACATGGCAGTTATCAACCAGCTATGGGGAAGTCAAAATACAAAGAGGGACTTCCAAACAAGAACCATCAAACTTTGGAAAGCAACAGCATGAAAAAAAACCATCCCTCAACCCCATAAGCAGAAACACAATGGCCAAGGGAAAGTCTTAAGAAAGGTTTGAAGAGTGAATTTAATATGCTCAGTGGACAGAGGAAAACATCTTAAGTATGAAAAAAGCAAACCATTATTTATGGACCTTAGGAAAAATGCTTGTCAAAATTAACAGATGGGATGAGTAGCAAAAAGGACATCTAAAGTGCAGATTAGTGAGTGCAATGTTTGACATGAAGAATAATCCTGGATTGCAGCACAACAGGGCAAAGAAATGAAAAGGTTAGAGAAAATAAGCAGTGATCCAGAAGTTTCTGTCATGGTTGATTGTGTGTCCCTGAGAAAGAAAGTACAGAAATGAATGGCAGCAACATTATAGCGTGAATGACTCCCAGAGCTTATAGGAACTCACTTGCCCTCAAAAGGTGAAAGAAAACAGATGGAGAGCCACAGAGGTTGCAGCACAGTGTCATTACTGAGGAATATAAAACACTCCAAAAGTTAAAGAGGAGGAGAAAGCAACAAATTACCAAGTAGGGAATAAGTTTCAGATTGATGTCTGCTCTCAGCAGCAACATGGGATCCAAGGAGAGAGTGAAGCAACACCCTCATGCTCTGAAAGAAAATATATTTAAACATCGAGTGATATGCTATCTCAAATGCCATTCAAGCACAAAAGCAGAGTAGAAGGCATTTTTATTAATTTAGAGACTTCTTTATTAATTCACAGTTTGGTCCGTAACTGTCAGCTCCTTCAGGGGTCACTTGGGTGGCAGAGAGCCTGCCTTGTCTGAGGTCAAAGCCCTTCCATATGCCAATTACAGTGATTAATCCAGGTGAACAGAGACCTGGGAATTGAACTCTGGTTGGAGCAATTCTGCTGGGTCATTTCATCCTCATAGCTTCGTATGGTACCTGCTAAGCTTAGTAAGGGAATATGATGAACAATCATACAGCCATTGATTTGATGAAATGCATCAATTCCTCTAAAACCAAAAACTACCAAACACTTGTCCAAGATGAAACAAATAACCTGAGTTATACTACAGCCATTAAAAAAACTGAATTTAAGCTGAGCATGGTGGCATATCTGATACCAAGACCAGACGAATATAGTGTTACAATAGAAAATTATGGACCAGTGTGCCTCATGAACGTAGAAGCAAACAAAACAAAACAAAACGAACAACAAATTATCATCAGATCCAACTTTGCAACATATCCGAAAGTATCTCTCTCACACACCCCATGAATGGGGAATTATTTCAGATATACAGTGGGGTATGATGATCTAGACCCTTATCCCTGGGGAATCTCATTCCCTGGTTGCACTTCTTAGACCATGACTACCATATGGGTTCATCTAACATTATAATTGAGGGTAAGGCACCAAGAGATTGTCCAGTGACTCACTCAAAGGGTATTATCTGCCCCCATAGTATAGCCCACCCCATCCTAATAATCAGGGTTATTATTCTTGCTAATATGGTGACTCTTTTTAGTACTAGCACATTTCTTGGCAAAAGGCGGCTGATGTGAACAGGTCATAATCATAGCTTTAATGCTCTCTCTCTGGCAGAGATGCTAGTCAAAGATGAAGGAAATCTAGAAAGGGTGGTAGATGATGGGGGTGGGGGGAGAAAGGAGTGTGAATAATGGCCCCAAGGTCAATGTAGTAGTGGAGACTTCAGTGTATCTCTCTGAGATAAGATGTCTCTCTGGAATCTTGAAGAAGCTATTTTGAAGTGGTGAGAACTTACTACAGGAAGCAGGTAGATCTGAGTGGCATAAAGGGATGGGTCACAGAAGATATGTGGATGTAGTGGATCCTTGCTGAATAGTGGGTGATGCATCCCACAAGTGTTGGGAATACTGGCTGCTCTTGGGTCACTGCTCTCTCTTCCTGAGAATTGCCTTTGGCCACAGGGAAAAGAGTTGATCAGTTGTGTCTTCTCCTCAGGGGAATACTGCAGCCAGTGTCTGGCTTGTGATTAGTGAGGGTTGACTTATGTCCCCACAAAAAGATATGTTGAAGTCCTAATTCCCAGTACCTAAGAATGTGACCACTACAGTTTGGATCTGGAATGTCCCCTGAAGGCCTAACACAAAGGTGTACTCCCCAACTTGGCACTACTGGGAGGTAGTGAAAAGTATAGGGGTGGGGGCAGTGAAAGGTTTTTGGGGGGATTGTGGAACCCTAGTCTCTTTCTCTCTTTTTTCCTCAGCTGTAAAGTGGGACTAATGTCACTCCATTGTTATTCCCATGAACAGTGGAGTCTGGTGATGAGGGCCTTGCCTCTGAAGCCAGACAGATGAAGGCTCTAAACTTATGCAGGTCTCACAGGGTCTAGCCAACACTTTCATCTTCAAATGTATGCTTCCAGAAACTTCCCTGTCCCACACATTTTGTCCCCACTATTTCCCCCATCCTCTGTCTTCCTCACCCACTCACCCCACTAACTTCACACCAACATGCTCCCCAGCCTCAAATGGCCTCCTTTCCTTCCCTGCTTTCTCCTTATAGATCCACACAGGCTTTTCCCTTATGCACCCTGTAAATTCCAAATGCATGTCTCAGTGACCCCTTGGACTGTGATTTTGAGGGGAAATAATGTCCAGGTGGGTCTTTAGAGGTTGGGTAGAGGTGGGTCTGTTGAGCTACCGGTCATCCATCCAATTGTGACCTTGATGCCCTCCAAGACAGAGAAAGACAGAAAAGCACTTGAACCCATTTGTATGTAAATAAGTGCTTATATTTGGGTCATCTTTTTCTTTTTTTTTTAATTAAAAATTTTTAAATTCTAATTTGTTATATATGACAGCAGAATGCAATTCAATTCATATTACACAAATAAAGCACAATTTTTCATGTCTCTGCACACAAAGTAGAGTCATACCATTCGTGTTTTCATACATGTAGTTAGGGTAATGATGTCCATCTCATTCCACTGTCTTTCCTACCCCATGCTCCCTCACCTCCCCAGCCTCCCTTTTGCCCTATCTAAAGTTTGTCTATTCCTCCCATGCTTCCCGCCCGCCATCCCCATTATGAATCAGCATACTTATATCAGAGAAGACTTTCGGCATTTGGTTTTTTGGGATTAGCTTACTTGACTTAGCATTATATTCTCCAACTCCATCCATTTACCTGCAAATGCCATGATTTTATTCTCTTTTAAGGCTGAATAATATTCTATTGTGTATATATAACACATTTTCTTTATCCATTCATCTACTGAAGGGCATCTCGGTTGGATTCACAGTTTAGCTATTGTGAATTGTGCATCAATGTGGCTATGTCCCTGTAGTGTGCTATTTTTAAGTCCTTTGGGTATAAACCAAGGAGTGGGATAGCTGGGTCAAATGGTGGTTCCACTCCCAGCTTTCCAAGGAATCTCCATACTGCTTTTCATATTGGTTGCACCAATTTGCAGTCCCAACAGCAACATATGAGTGTGCCTTTTCCCCACATCCTTACCAACACTTATTGTTGTTTGTCTTCATAATAGCTGCCATTCTGACTGGAGTGAGATGAAATCTTAGAGTAGTTTTGATTTGCATTTCTCTAATTGCTAGAGATGTTGAATATTTTTCATATATTTATTTATTGATTGTATATCCTCTTCTGAGAAGTGTCTGTTCAGGTCCTTGGCCAATTTACTGATTGGGTTATTTGTTTTTTTCAGTGTTAAGATTTTTTTTTTTTATTGGTTGTTCAAAACATTACAAAGCTCTTGACATATCATATTTCATACATTTGATTCAGTGTTAAGATTTTTGAGTTCTTTATATACCCTAGAGATTAGTGCTCTATCTGATGTGTGTGTGGTAAAAATTTGCTTCCAAAATGTAGGCTCTCTATTCACCTCACAGATTGTTTCTTTTGCTGAGAAGAAACTTTTTAGTTTGAATCCATCCCACTTATTGATTCTTGATTTTAATTCTTGTGCTATAGGAGTTTTATTAAGGAAGTCAGGGCCTAATCTGACATGTTAGAGATTTGGGTCTACTTTTTCTTCTAATAGGCACAGTGTCTCTGTTTTAATTCCTAGGTCCTGATTCACTTTGTGTTGAGTTTTGTGAATGGTGAGAGATAGGGGTTTAATTTTATTTTGTTGCATATGGATTTCTAGTTTTCCCAGCACCATTTGTTGAAGAGACTATCTTTTCTCCAATATATATGTTTTGGTGCCTTTGTCTAATATAAGATAACTGAACTTATGTGGGTTTTTCTATGTGTCCTATATTCTGCACATGTCTATTTTGGTGCCAATACCATGCTGTTTTTGTTACTATAGCTCTGTAGTAGGTTTAAGGTCTGGCATATTGATGCCACCTGCTTCACTCTTCTTGGTAATCATCTTTTTCTTCATCTTGATTTACTAATTACTAGGTCTTGTGTGCACCCTTCTATATTGCTATCTAGAGAACAAACTCATTCTAATTGTTATTTAGTATACCACTGTTTCAATCAACTGAAACCCACTTAATGAACATCAGCCAGGTGATAATGAATATCATCTATGCTTTTGTGTCAATCAGTATTTGGAGTGTTTTTATTTTTAATTTTTGAGATACTGGGAATTGAACCCCAGGACCTTGTGACATCCCCAGCCTTTTTCAAATTTTATTTTTATTTTAAGACAGGGTATTATTATGTTGCCTGAGCTGGCCTCAAACTTGCCATTCCACTGCCTCACACTCCCAAGTTGATGGGATTATAGGCAAGTGCGGCTCCATCTTGGAGTGTTATTTTTGTAGATATTTGGCTTGGGGTGTTATTTTTGTAGATATTTGGCAGAAAAGGACAGGTCTTCTAGGCTTCCCTTAGAATGGCTCAACTGTTGGAAGCCATGCTAGTGCCTGCGTCATAGGTGCCCTTATGACATCACCATAAACACAGCCTTTTCTCTACTCCCCCCACCCCCACTCTTTCACTGGAGCTTTGGCTGGAGGGCAGACCGGAGGGTGATGGAACCATCTAGCCCACAACTATGGGTAATTTAGTAGAGTACAGACCTGTGGGGGTTTGACCATCCATCCCCTGGTTAGGGACATTAATTGTTTTTTTTTTGGTGGGGCCGGGGGAGTACTGAGGATTGAACTCAGGGCCACTCAACCACTGAACCACAGCGCCCCATTTTGTATTTTATTTAGAGATAGGATCTCACTGAGTTGCTTAGCGCCTTGCTTTTTGCTGAGGCTGGAATTGAACTCATGATCTTCCTGCCTCAGCCTCCTGAGCCACTGGGATTATAGGTATGCAACATCGCACCCAGCACATTCATTGATTTTTTTTTTTTTTTTTATAATGTTAGACCAACCATGCAAAGAAAAGACCACCGGACTCCAATTGAAATCAAATTAAAGCAAGCTTATAATTTCAACCGGCAGGGCTACCTCTCTCAACAAAAACTGTGGGAACAAAAGCAGCCCCACAGCTTTCCAGGAGTGCAGCTTTATAGCCCAGAAAGTTACACAAAGGGGGGTTTGAGAACTTACAGATAAAAAAAATCTGATGAACATAACACAAAGGCTAGTTTATATTTTTGCTGGCCCCAACATCAGAATTTATGAAGGTTGTATTTATAAAGGTCATTAGAGCCTCAGAGAGGGTTGTTATCCGGCCAGGGAAGGCCAAGGTTTATGAGGCATCACTAAATTTCAGAGAGGGTTGTTATCTGGTCTAGGAAAGCCAGTTATGGGTGAGTTCAAGGCACAGGCAGGCATTCCAAGCAAGTTTAAAAATCGCAGTAATTTATAGTAAAGCTGAAATTAGCTTTTCATGCCTTTGTGGTGATGGCGCCCAATCTTAAGAGGGAATTAGGCTGGGCTTATCATATAATACTTTTATTTTTTAAATTGCTTTTATTTTTTAAATTCATGACAGAGTGTATCACAATTCTTATTACACATATAGAACACAATTTTTCATATCTCTGAATATAAAGTATGTTCACATCAATTCATGTCTTCATACATGTACTTTGGATAATGATGTCCATCACATTCCACCATCATTGCTAACCATTCATTGATCTTTAACAGATGGATCCATCCAAACTTTCTGAGAGGGCAGGGTAAGTTTCCTGTAGTTTATTTGAGAGGGTATCCCTCTTCGTGTCTGGAGTCCTGGGAAAGGCGCGGAAGTTGGGGTTGTGGTTGATTTGGCACTGGTGATAGGAGAGCACCTTTTACCTTATCCTGTGTTTCCCCCCTGAACTCCAGTGTAGAAAGACAGCAACCCATTTTAAATTATCATCGAAGATGATGATGATGAAATCACATTGATAGAACAGAACTTGAGGAAGCAGAGGAGAGAAGAGGGAACCAATTCCACACGCAGTCTCCTCACCCACTACCCCGCTGCCTCTATACCATGTTCACTACCTCCCTTGGTCCCCAACTCCTAAGGTAGCTAGGTCTAGGTTTTGCTGTGGACATCTCTGACCTTCAAAGTCCAGTGGCATGACTCAAAGACCATGGCAATGTTATTTATTGTCCAAAGAGATGTTTCACTGAGAGGGACACTTGCCATCATTATGCCAAGACACCAGGCATAAACCCAGGCCATCCCAGGTAAACTAGGGTAAATGGCTGCTGTACACAGAGCTGGGATGAACAGAGATTGTCTCCTCCTCCTCTTATTCTTTTCTCCATTTCACCCTTAAGCAGAGAGAGTTGGGTCTGGCTGAGATAAGAAGCAGGGAGTGGTGGCAAGGAGTGTAAACCCAGGCCACATAGAATTGGGAGCTGTCATGGGGCTATGTTTAGGAATGCAAGGGCCAAGGTGTGGGAAGCCAGGTTTTAAAATGTGTGTGTTAGTGTGGATGAATGTTTGTTTGCACCCATGTATATGTTAACACATGTTGAACCTGTCAATAACATGGTGAGGTGGAGGAATCTTTGACTACTTTGGTGAGGCAGAGGGGACACAACAGTTTGTGGTTAAACAGCTCAATGGCTAACCTGTGGATAGGCCAGAACTCTGGGGGTCTAGCTACAGTGAGGGAGTCTATCCTATTCCCTCTATTAAAATATCATTGTTGGAGACCATGGTGGTTGTCAGAGGCAGGGTGCAGGGCAAGCAAAGGCAGGTGGGAAGGATCTGAAAAGAAGGTCATGGATTCCAGATAAGCTGTCCTGTCCAGATGAAACGAAGCTCTTTTACCTCTAAATCATGAAATTCTTGCTCTAGACTGGCCAACTAAATGAGGAAAACTGGGTGAAATAGCTAGAGCAGGCATACCCCAATTTTACAAACAGTGACATTTAGACTCAGAGGTCAATGTGATGCTTCCATGTCCATCAGCCAGAAACTAGCAGAAACAGGACACCTACCTGGTCTCTTGGGTCTAGCTGTGGCCATGCCCAGTGCTCCTGAAATCTTAAGGAAGGGGCCATTGTTGATACACATGGGTGCTCCTGGCACACGCTGAGTTTCCCTAAGTGTCCTAAACATTCTCTGCGTTCTCTTGCCAGGCTCCGAGGACGACACCGCGGATGAGAAGGTCATCATAAGCATAGAGGATACTGCTGCTGTGTTCATCCAGGCCTGGTGGCGAGGCACGTTGGTGCGACGCACACTGCTGCATGCTTCCCTCAGGGCGTGGACCATCCAATTATGGTGGAGGCAGATACGGGTGAAGCTCATGGAAAATAGGCGGCGTAATGCGCTGGATTTCTATGCGCGGAAAGAGTGGGCAGTCGTCATGCTGCAGGCGTGGGTCCGAATGTGGCGCATCCGCACACGATACTGTCGATTGCTAAATGCTGTCCGCATCATCCAGGTTTATTGGCGTTGGCATAGTTGTCATACCCGTGGTTTTATTCAGGGAGACTATGATCTCAAAGAAAACCAATTGAATATTCAACTTGAAATCTCTCTGGGTTCACAGGTCTGTAAGGTGCAACAACACATACCCCTTCCATTAAAAGAATGATCAGGTCTGCTCTATCTGCGTTCCCAGCTGTCTTTTTATTTGACATATTTCCAGGAGGTCATCGTTGGAGCTTATGATGGCAGATACTGTAGGCAACTCACAAATCAGCTTTGGGGAATCAGAAGGGGTAATCTGGTTACAAGTGAATAACCCTTTGCAGAGCCTGGGTGTTGAATGAACAGGACCAGTGATGGATTAGCCTTGTCTGCCGCAGGTGTGAGACACCCAAGCAGATCAATGCTAGGGAGACTATGTAAATAGTGCTCCTTGTGGCCCCTTGGAATTCTGCATCATTCTTGGCTCTTTTTGGGGTACTGTTTTCTAAGACTTATTTTAAGAATTATGGTAAAACATAAAGTTTACCATTTCAGCTGTTTTAAAATGTACAGTTCAGTTACTTAAGTTCAATCACATTGTGTAATCATTACCACCATTCATCTCCAGAACTTTTTGGGTTTCGCAAAACTGAAACTTTGTACCCATTAAACACCAATTCCTCATCCTTCCAGCCCCTCGCAACCACTATTCTATTTTCTTTCTTTTTTTTTTTTTTTGGTGGGGCATACTAAGGATTGAACTCAGGGGCACTCGAACACTCTGCCACATCCCCAGTCCTATTTTGTATTTTATTTAGAGACAGGATCTAACTGAGTTGCTTAGTGCCTCCCTTTGCTGAGGCTGGCTTTGAACTCGTGATCTTCCTGTCTCAGCCTTCCGAGTCTCTGGGATCACAGGCATGTTCCACCACCACATCCAGGTCCACCATTTTATTTTGTCCCTAAATTTGACTAATCTAACTGACTAATCTAGATCACTCATAAGAGTAGAATCATCCAAATTGACTGCTTGCTTCACTTACTGTAATGTCTTCAAGGTTCATCCATGTTGTAGCATGATTTTTCCTTTTAAGGATGCATAATATTCCTCTGAATGCATACACCACTTATTATTAGCTATTCATTTGTCAATTGATATTTGTGTTACTTCCACTTTTTTCCTATTTGAATAGTGCTACTATAAACATGGGTATACCAATATTGCTTCAAGTTCCTGCTTTTGGTTGGGCATGGTGGTGCATGTCTGTAATCCCAGCTACTTGGCAAGGATGAAGCAGGAGTATCACAAGTTCCAAGCCAGCCTGGACAACTTAGCAAGATTCTGTCTCAAAATAAAATACAGAAGGGCTAGGGATGTAACTCAGTGATAGAGCACTTGCCAGAATGGGCAAGGCCCCAGGTTCAATCCTCAGTACCAAAAAAAAAAAAAAAAAAAAATCCCACTTTCAATTCCTTTGGATAGATACCCAGAAGTGGAATTGCTGCTGGATCATATGGTAATCCTATTATGATTTTTTTTTTGAGGAACTGCTGTGCTGTTTTCTATAGCTGCTGCATCATTGTGTGCTCCCCTCAACAGTACACAAGATTTCCAATTTCTCCATATCCTCATCCACACTTGTCTCTGCTTTCTCCATATAGTCCTCCAAATGGTTTCTTGTTGTGTGTGTGTGTGTGTGTGTGTGTGTGTGTTAACAACTTGGCATCACTGATTGCAAAGCATTAAACTGATTTTCATAGAAACAATAATTTACTATCTTTTCACACTTATATTTCATTAATTACTTGGTATTTAAAAAAATTATATAACAAATATAGCTGACATAAAAAAGTTTGGGAATCAACACATATAATTGTGTATGTTTGTCATTTTTTTATTGCTCTGAACAAAATACTTGATGAGAATAATTTAGAGGAAGAAAAGATAATTTTGAGTTCACAGTTTCAGAGGTTCAGTCCACAGTTGGCTGACTCTATAACTCTGGGCCCAGAAGGGCAGAAGGGCATGGCAGAGGAGAGCTGCTTACCTCATGGTAGCTAGGAAGCAGACAGAGTGGGAGGAGTCAGGGACAAAATATCTAACCCCCAAGTCATGCCCTCATTGACCCACTTCCTCCAGCCTTGCCCCAACTGCCTATTGTTACCATCTACTAATCCATCCAAATTATTAAGCAATCAAGTTGACTAATCTACTGATTGGATTATGGTTCACATAATCTAATCACTTCCTCTCCTGCATTGAGAAAGGAATTTTGGGGGGACCACTTATATTCAAACAATAACCCCCTGGTAAGTATATCTCTCAACTGGTGGGTGCATAATTGCTTGGGCACCTAATTAGACATAAAATAAGTATATTTGTGGGCCTCAGCTAATCTCATTGTGGTTTTGAAATGAATCTTCCTAATGATTAGTGATGAGGAACATTTTTTTTTGGTGCTGAGAATTGAACCCAGGGCCTTGTGCATGCAAGACAAGCACTCTACCAACTGAGCTATATCCCCAGCCCACCATCTTTTCATATTCTTGTAGGGCATTTTTTTGTAGGGCATTTGACTTGTTTGGAAAAATGTTTAAATTTTTTGCCCTTTTGTTTTTCATTTAATTTATTTAATTTTAAATTACATTCCTTTTTTTTTTTTTGTCAACACTTATAATTACATTAAGGTCTCATTTCACCCTTTCACGATTAACAAACCAACAAAAAATTCCGGTTGATCAGGCGGTATAGCGATACCAGACTTCAAACTATATTACAGAGCAATAGTAACAAAAACAGCATGGTACTGGTACCAAAACAGGCGGGTGGACCAATGGTACAGAATAGAGGACACAGAAACCAATCCACAAAACTACAACTATCTTATATTTGATAAAGGGTCTAAAAGCATGCAATGGAGGAAGGATAGCATCTTCAACAAATGGTGCTGGGAAAACTGGAAATCCATATGCAACAAAATGAAACTGAATCCCTTTCTCTCGCCATGCACAAAAGTTAATTCAAAATGGATCAAGGAGCTTGATATCAAATCAGAGACACGCCGTCTGATAGAAGAAAAAGTTGGCTACGATCTACATACTGTGGGGTCGGGCTCCAAATTCCTCAATAGGACACCCATAGCACAAAAGTTAATAACTAGAATCAACAAATGGGACTTACTCAAACTAAAAAGTTTTTTCTCAGCAAAAGATACAATAAGAGAGGTAAATAGAGAGCCTACATCCTGGGAACAAATCTTTACTCCTCACACTTCAGATAGAGCCCTAATATCCAGAGTATACAAAGAACTCAAAAAATTAGACAATAAGAGAACAAACAACCCAATCAACAAATGGGCCAAGGACCTGAACAGACACTTCTCAGAGGAGGACATACAATCAATCAACAAGTACATGAAAAAATGCTCACCATCTCTAGCAGTCAGAGAAATGCAAATCAAAACCACCCTAAGATACCATCTCACTCCAGTTAGATTGGCAGCCATTATGAAGTCAAACAACAACAAGTGCTGGCGAGGATGTGGGGAAAAGGGTACACTTGTACATTGCTGGTGGGACTGCAAATTGGTGCAGCCAATTTGGAAAGCAGTATGGAGATTTCTTGGAAAGCTGGGAATGGAGCCACCATTTGACCCAGCTATTCCCCTTCTCGGTCTATTCCCTAAAGACCTAAATAGAGCATGCTACAGGGACACTGCTACATCGATGTTCATAGCAGCACAATTCACAATAGCTAGACTGTGGAACCAACCTAGATGCCCTTCAATGGATGAATGGATAAAAAAAATGTGGCATTTATACACAATGGAGTATTACTCTGCATTAAAAAATGACAAAATCATAGAATTTACAGGGAAATGGATGGCATTAGAGCAGATTATGCTAAGTGAAGCTAGCCAATCCCTAAAAAACAAATGCCAAATGTCTTCTTTGATATAAGGAGAGTAACTAAGAACAGAGTAGGGTCGAAGAGCATGAGAAGAAGATTAACATTAAACAGGGATGAGAGGTGGGAGGGAAAGGGAGAGAGAAGGGAAAATGCATGGAAATGGAAGGAGACCCTCAGAGTTATACAAAAGTACATACAAGAGGAAGTGAGGGGAAGGGGAAAAATAATACAAGGGGGACAAACGAATGTCAGTAGAGGGGGCAGAGAGAGAAGAGGGGAGGGGAGGGGAGGGGAGGGGGGATAGTAGAGGATAGGAAAGGCAGCAGAACACAACAGACACTAGTATGGCAATATGTAAATCAATGGATGTGTAACTGATGTGATTCTGCAATCTGTATATGGGGTAAAAATGGGAGCTCATAACCCACTTGAATCAAATTGTGAAATATGATATATCAAGTACTATGTAATGTTTTGAACAGCCAACAATAAAAAATTAAAAAAAAAAAATTCCGGTTGGAATTTACACTGTCTTATCCATTGCTGAACTTAAGTATTAGTATTTAATGCCATTTCTCTCCAACAAATAATATGGTATAAAATATCTTAAGTCTCCTGGTATGTTTAAATTGCATCAAATTAAGGTTAAGCTTGAGATTGGCATTCCAAACCAAATTCTAGCAGAGGATTACATGATGTTTTTGTACATATCAAATAGTAAGTTTAAAAAGTGTTTATGGGCACGTAATTAAACTGTACATAGAAAATCCTCAATTTAGAGTCAATAATTGGCTTATTTAAATATAGATATATTTGATAGTTTCCAAGGTAAGTTCACCACTAGGGAAATTCTAATAATTTGGTTGAATAGTTATATAAACTGACCTAATCAGTACCATTAAGGATTTCTAAATGTATTTTATCATGTACTTAGTATAATACTGTCATGTTAATATTATCAGTACTAAACTGCAGACAAGATAAGTTAAAAACTGTACAGAAACTGGGCATGCCTATAATCCCAGGGGCTTGGGAGACTGAGGCAGGAGGATCATGAGTTCAAAGCCAGCCTCAGCAAAAAGCAAGGCACTAAGCAACTCAGTGAGTCCTTGTCTCTAAATAAAATACAAAATAGAGATGGGGATGTGGCTCAATGGTCGAGTGTCCCTGAATTCAATCCTCAGTAGCCCCCCCCCCCCAAAAAAAAAAGAACTGTGTAGAAAATCTGAGAACCCTATTTTTACCTTCTGTACATTTTCATTATCTATTTTTTT